ACTGCTTTATGCCCCGAGTGCGACCTATCAAGTACTCGTGAATGCATGCAGTAGCAAGGCATTGCGAATGGTTTCATGATTATTGGACATCTCATTGTAAAAAAAAAAGACAGCACTCGCGACCGTTGCTCATTTTCACCGTTTGCAAAATGTAATTTAGCAATCTCCCCGGCTAGCAAACTTCGACCGTAAATGTAGAAGTTCAGGCAGGGACTGTAATTACAATTTCAGGGAAAACTTTTTAGACAAATCTATTCCTGAAAGATAGCTGATGAAGCACGGCGGAAATTTTCAGACAACAAGATGGTATGCAACCCGAAAATGTAGGCGATTAGTGGGAAAATTCAGCTGTTCATGATCAGGCTGAACTTCTTCAGGTGATGCATCTGAGAAATTCAAGCTTCGTGGGTTTCAAATATGAAGTATCGGTTAAAATCAGATTTCAATGTATCCCCCAAAAAAGTAAACTCGGAGTTGATGATACTGATTGCCTGAAAGCGAAGAAAATGAGTGCTAACTTTTTTAACTTCGAAAAGGGAAAGGAGAGAAAGATCCGGAAGTGAGTTCCACGGCTTCTTGTATTCATGTTTTTCGGATTGCCTACCTGGAAAATTGAGTTCTCTGAGCAAGAGATGTACCATACGACGTATTTCCGTCATTTGAACTGCAGACTAGACGACTAGGCTTTCTAACCCTGAAAAATATCCGGTTACATCCAGAATATCGCACCATTACAGAAAAAAAATAATCGCTGGAAAAGCAGCGAGCAGGGGACGGGCCCTTCCTTCTTCCATTGATCGCCCTGTCAAAATTCCCGCAATAGTTCGAGTGATTGCATGCTGAATCCCAGAAGGGGAAAAGGACTTTCCAGCGATTTGGAATTCGCCACGGTCGTAACATGGCTTTGCATAGGTTTGACACCGTAACAGCGAAATACGGCTGTGCGGCGTTTCGTGATATTGAAATATCGAAGTCCTTTTGAGTCTGTCCGGGAACTGAAGTTTCGTCATCTCGTGTGGTACCAAAGGAATCGCAAAAAACTGAAGGTATTGCAGGAACACAGGCATCGAGGATCGGATCGAATGGACGAATCGAAACCGAAGCCGGAGAAACTTTTCCAGCATCGGCCGACCGGTTCTCCAGCTCGGATGCATCTGAGCTGCCAACTCACACTCGGCCCTGGTCTGACTCCAAGTGGAGGGGGGGAGGGGGAGGGGGAGAAGAGGGCAGCCCCCCACTTGGTGGGTATCCTCCCCTTCCACCTCTCTCATTCACACTTTCCTCACTAGAGAGGGGTTGGTTTGACGGAAACGCCGCGTAACCAGACATCCCAGGTATCCCGGTATCCTCTCAGCCTCACAGGAAATACAATGGATTTTCCAGACGATATTCGGCACGAGCCGCTTCAAACTCGGCAGCATTCTTCCTGGCACTCGCTGCTCCCATTCAATTTCGGCGAGAGAACTTTCTATTTCAGCTGTACTGGGAAATCTGTTCCTGGTGACTGGTACGAAGAGTGCATGAAAGAAACGAATGGAACGCGTCATTTATGTATCACATGCTCTGGCCTTCATCGACATCAACGTGCAGTGTCCAGCCTTTCATAAAGGGCTGCCAAGAAAACTGGTAAACCTTTTTCTTTTAAAGTAAACCGATTTTCATTTGAACTTAAACAAGCTCTCTCCTTCGACCCTGAAAGATGACATTTTGACTTTTAACCTTGAATGATGGCGAAACTGGCGTATCTGTGGGACTCCTCGAGAGCAGTTCCTGAGTGATTTTGGAATAAAAGTGGCATGGAAAAAGATTTTTCCCAAAAATTTCCTTCAACTTAATTTTCTGCGTTGTGTGGATACTAAACGTGGACTGAATAAGATCCACCGAACACGCGTCACTTAACGTTTTTTCTTTCACCACTCCATTTTGATGAATTTAACACTCCCTTGGTGACGAATTCGTTTCGTCAGTAACGCTGAAAAACTCTCCAAGCCTCTTCATTTTTGATCATTACAAATGTCGTTTGGCATGAAGAAAAGCAATGGTCTATGCCTTCTTTCTTGAAAATATGCAAGTTCCAGGCCCAGATCAGGAAGGAATCGTCTTACTTTTCGTCATCCATGGGAGAAATTAGACATTTTTGGTTGGAATCGGTGCAGGCATCTATGATCGATAAGCAACTTTTGTTGCAGAATTTCTGAACCAAACCATCATGATTTTCATTTTGAGTCTGGCGATCGTCAGTGACTTCGGAACTGGCCCTCGAAGAACTTAAAAACAAAAAGAATTAAAGATGAAACTCGTTCCAGCTCTGTCGCAAATCCCATTTCCGCGGCTCGTTCCCGACCGGACGTGAAACGCGGCCAGTTCTCGACCGGACGTCTTCGCTTCATTTCAGATGGAAAATCGGCAGCATCGGTCGAATGCCGCGAAAATATTGTTTTCCGAAATTGAAATGGAAACAACCGACGCCGAATTCGATCGAACTTCCGCCGAATATCGTCTGGAAAACCGAAAAGTTTTTCTCCGCGCAATCCCAAAGATCTAATTACTAATTCCATGAATGATTAAAGCAATTATCCCACAACTTCTGCTTCTGAAATACGCAAAAAAAATACGAAAGCAAAAACTTCAAATTTGCAAGTCAAGACAGATGACATCCGAATGATCGACAAATTTACGGATTGGATTTTACCCATCTGCCGGTCTTTTCCCTTCGTCTATCTACTTGGAGATCCTCATCCCTCCTTAAATAATTTCAAAACAAATAATTTACGGGTGAACATTTTTAATCATTTCGTCTCTCGGCTCCTATTCGATGCCGTTTAAACGAACCACGCCTCAATCTGCGACCACTTACATCGTCATTTCACAATTCGTCCCAAGGGAAACGCATTCAACTAAACTATTATCATTTCGCCATGGACTCAGACGGAGTTAATGAAGCGGACGGATTGAAATCGCCCGATCGCATGCACCGAGATGAAAGCCTCTTTTATGAACGAAAAAGGCTCGCGATCCATGCGGGCAGCCGAGCCCCCGACCGTTAACGACGTTTTAAGGGCAGGTCTTATTTGGTCTTATTGCTCGCATTACGATAGGTTTACGGAGGATCATCTCACCGACCGTCGTTCTACTCCGGCTCTCACTCTTCAGACGGAGGCGAGCACCGGATTCATCTGGACGGAAAAGAAGCGATTTAGTTGAAAGCGAAATCGCGCACGCGAAACAGCGTGATTCTCTTTCCATCGCGGATTCAGGTCTGTTATTCGGAGCCAGTCAAGGTTGAAAGTATGAAGCACAAAGATCACAGGATGGGGATGGGGGCGCCCCAGGGATGGATCCATTTCGCATCCCATTCCCTCCCGTAAAGCTGGGCAGGCACATGACGTCATCAGGGAAGGGAGGGGAAGGGGGGGGGGAGGGGGGAGGGGGGGGGGGGGAGATTTTCTAAGCTTCGTGCTTTGTAAAGGATATCAATCAGCCGTTGGGCCATCCATTGACAAATTGGCCCTGGGGGAACGCGCTCATGTGAATGAAGTAGGACTCTTTGAAAATAGTTTATTTCCCATCCTTTATGCGTTCCTATTGAGCGGCACAGTGATGTTCAAATTATTCGTTCTCCTCGGGAGAACGCGACCTTGCATCGCTCGTGTGGAATTCGCGATGAAACGACAAGGACGTGCCGAAGGCGGAGCAGCAGCACTCATTTCAATGCCGGGAGTTAAAAACCACTTTGCCTGGATCCGCTTCGTCGAATTCTCCATTGGAGTTCTCTGTCTTATTCGGCGAATGGTGTTTATTAAAGAAAATTCTCCGATTGGGTCTGTTCGCATTCGGTGGTCGAACGATCGGCGGCGGTTCAGTTGTTGCGTTGCGCGGGCTGGACCTGCCCGATGGTGATTCCTGGGACCTTCGTGCCTTTTAAAACGGTATGCAATTGAACCAGATGATTCTGACCACGACTCGATGAATTTTCACGCGAAGAAAGCGAAGGAGTCCGACGGAGATTGATTCGAGGCATCCGACAACCCTGTCGAAATCCAAACAAGCGACAACGTGATCTTCCTGCCCGATTCGTTCCAATGGATAACATGACAAATAGGAACGCGTGAATAGGCTCCCCCTCCGCTTAAATAGGCTTTAGGAATCAAAGAAGAAATCCCCCTGACTCTATAATCTCCTGCCAGCCATAAACACCTTGAATGGAATAAATATTATTGATTGCCCGTTTCGCAGCCTCCGCTGGATATTATAGTGTATATCTTTCAGCCTCACATCCGCTCTTTTTTCACCCCCGAGGGGGAGAGGGAGAAAGAGGGAGAAAAAAAAAAAACAAGAACACTCCCTCAATTTTTTTTTACCGACTTAAATCACCTTTGTATTTATAGTTAACTCGAACAGTTGTAAATCAAATTTCAGAACGAGATCGCGGCTGGTTTTTTTTTTCTTGATGGGTTCTAAAAAAATCCGTTGAATCTCTCGGGTTGAGAATTTCCTTTGACAGCGAAACGCCGAAACGGTGGGAGAAGCAGAAGACTGCAAACTTGTGAATGTCATATATCTCTGGTCTGCTTTTTTTTTTCTTACTTTTTTTTTTTTTTTCCTCCAAGGGCACTTCATTCCTGACGAGGCGCAGAATGTGACATGACGGACAGCTTTTCGAAACACCATCTATATATCCTGTCTCTCTGTCTCTCTGTCTCTCTCTCTCTCTCTAAGGCATGCAAATAGTGTGCCTGCACCCCCCAAGTGGCACATTAGCGCTATTCATCTCCGGCTCCCTCGCGTCGTTTAGGTTATCCGAGCCATCATGCCCGGCCATCATACGGAGTCCGTCGGTATGCGATGCCGCATGAAAACGACGTGCAGCGGGACGGCAATTACTGGCCAAAAGCATGACAATGGGGAGGGGAGCAGCTGCGAGGATCCTGGTCGAGTGGACACTTATAAAACTCTTTAATGCTCATCTAAAAGCTGGCATATGGCACCGTATAATGGCTATGACGAAGCCCCTCCTCTCGCTTCTTTCGATTCGAGATGATTCCCTCCGGGCATTCCTTCCTGGCCGTCTTTGGATTCGTGGGGCCTCGAATGCTCTGCGACTCGTGTGGAAGATTCGAGTATGTATTGTATACAATATATATATATTGTATCTATCATTTGAATGAAGTCGTTTTGATGGGCCGGGACGACTTGAAGTGCGTGGTGGAATCCGAACGCGGATTTCGTTTGCGGCGTGAAATGCGACGAAGAAATGCAGGGATCGCGTGGATTCTTGCTAATTTAATGCCTCGAAAGCGCGGTTTTTCGCGGTCGCTCCGCTAATGTGGGCGGTTGCGGCCGTCTCATTTCATCCTCATGATGAGGAGGGAAATCGCTTTTGCATGAAAATCTGGGGGGGAAAAGTTGGTGTTATTCGCGAGGATCCTCGATCCCTTCGGGGCTGCAGCTGCACGGTTTTGCGTGCGCGCTCACCCGTTTCATTGCCCTACAATGGTAGGAATGACAAAAAATTTTTCACACCCTGTCACATCAGGCAGACAAATGAGGGGAAGGAAACGGTGAGAAACCTCCTTATTGAAATCCCATCTGCCCCGCTCCCGCCATTCGTTAGTCGGCGCGGGCGAGGAGCGGAAGTCTCGGTGACGTCTTCGGTGGGAACGGAGACGAAATTTCGAGTATTTTTCGGACCGAGTTTTAAGAAGTTCGCGGTTTCTTCGCAGATAAACCGGTTTTCGGAGCCGGATGGGTTTCGTCGGAGCGGCGGAAAGTTTCCACGGCAGAAGAGCTCCTGTTAGTCATTTGTCAGCCTGAATCCCCAGATGATTGCCCTTGGGACGAGAAAAAATCCCCCCGCAATATGTAAAGCAGACCCCCCCAACCCCTATAATTAGTTTCTACGCCCGAAATTTATTATATTCCTATTCAACGCCGCGGATCGGCGGGGGAATCCCCACGGGGGCATCGGGGCATCCGGAAAACTTGAGCCCGGATCCAAATCTGGAAAATCCCCTTGGCTCCGCGGGATTTATGATTCCGTGGATTTGCGTGCAGTTTCCCCTTTTTGGATCCGAGCGGATTGATAGAATGCCCGCCTTATTCTTTCCGGATCGGGGGCTATCTTTTCAACCCCTTACCCTATGCATAGAAATGTTACCTTTTTTTTTCATCCCCCTCTCTCGTTTCCGTCGAACCTTCGAGGCAATTCTGCGGCATTTCTGAGTCTGTTCCACGGCGATGCCAGAAACTGCGACGTAGTGCGACAATTTGCGACGATTTGCGACTACTTCAGCGACGATTTCCGCATAGTCGGGACGCGGCACATTAATCGCGACACGCGTGATCGATCGTGTTCGCCTCGTTTGAGGCGTTATGGCTTTCGTCATCGCTCGAAGTTCCTCCCATCGGTCGCATGTGGACTCCGCAGAAAATGAAATGGCAGATGCCGATCTTGCAGATCTTACCATTCTTTTCAGACTCCGACGTGGCGACTTCGACTTTCAGAGTCGCTGATTCGCATGCACACCGTCGATCAAGTGCAGGGAAATGAGCCTCGCCGAATTTCCGGGTTTTCTTTCCTGGATCGGGACCGGATCGGGACCGGATGGGGTCCGGATCGGGTCCGGATCGAGATTCTCCCGAGTATCGAAAGAAAAAGAGGAAAAAAGTGGGAGCGAGACGAGATCATCGAGGAGGTGAGATCGTGCGGAAATCGGAGCTCGACAGGGTTTATCCCCCGGATATAAGTGGGCCATTTCTCTGCGCCCGTGTTCCGTAATGGATGGCTCGGATATCAAAGCTCCATTTCGACAATTTGCGAGAATCGCTGTGAGCGTCATTTGCCAAATGGGGAAGGCGGAGATCAAATGCTCGTTATCGGGAATCGCGGAGCCCTTTCTCTCTCTCTCTCTCTCTCTCTTCCTCTCTCTCTCTCTCTTCATCCCCATCGCAGGTTCTTTAGCGAAAGACCCACCCTATATGAAGTAGTTTGAGCCCGCCCACCCCGGGCTCCTTCGCCCCTCCCCGTCCGTCCATTCCGAGGCTTTTTCCGGCGAGCGACGAAAACTTAGACAAGTCTCACGCATGAAAATCCTTTTGAGATGGGTTTTAAAAAAACCGATCGCCGTGCCCTCGTGCTGGCAGACCGCCGATACGTTTCGCTCTGAAGAGAGCTGTAAACCATGAGTTGTCTCTGTTCCGTCGTTCCGAGAGTTCCAAATTTTTTTTTTTACGAATGCCGATGAAACAAATTAAACGTTTGCAATCGGAGCAGGCTGCAGCCTGGCTTCAAAGCCTTATATATACAGTATATATATATTTTTAGCAAAGTATTTTATGGTCCTCACACATGGTTTTCGGTTCATTTTCTGGAAGAGTAATTTCGAGTTTTCGGATGGATTAATACTATTTTATTTCAAAAGTTGAAAAATCCACCATTTTGGCGGTACCGAGTTGTTTCGTGATTATGCTGACAAAGTGAGTGCAAATTTTTCGTCTCGCAAAAGCAAAAAGCTATGCAACATTTTCCTTATTACGCTTATTTTTAATACTAATGGGAAGAGCATACTTTTATTGCATTATTATAAATACGTATTTATGCTTATTTTATTCATTCATCCACTTGACCTTTCCGAAGTTCTTCTATTTTCGGAAGCCGATAGCAGATCCCCTCAGTCAATATTTTTCTTAGCGTTCCCCCCATCCGTTCGAATTTCCAAGAAATATTCGAAAAGAGAATAATGCACGAGGGACGACCCAAGAGTTTTTATATACTTTTTTTTTTTCCAATGTGCTTCGAACTCGAGGGGGGAATAACTTTTTTTTTTAATCAGAAAAATGTCCTAAATGCGTCTGAAAATGCTCGAACAGCTTCCTTGAATTCATTCGCGCCTTCGTTGCTGCTTCAAAATTTTTTGCTGCTGTTTTGCTCTAGATTGAATTGCAGCGAAGGAGTTGAGTGAATAAGCTGATATCAAACGAATTATTTTTTAACAATACAAATTGCATCCGTGCTCTGCATTCGATAATTTTCATTTATAATCGGAACAGTATCTGGCTGAAACATTCTTAATAATAAAAAATTGCCTAGAAAAACTTTTGTTAAAATAAATTTTGGCGCTTGAAATCAGCAAACAGGATGAAGAAATTCGGAAAGGAACTTTCGGGCTCCTCCGATCATTTCTCCTAGAAACTTTTGGATTATCCTTCGCATTTTTTGTCGTGAAGGCAAAATGTGCTTTTCGGATCAGCGCTAAATAATAATAATTTTAATTATAAAAAATAATATTGAGTGGGAGCAACGCTTGCATGCATGGCGCGAAAACATTCAACTCGAAAGAAATATTCGAACAACCTTGGGCAGCAAATCTCGACAAAGTGAGTTTCCTCGGCGCAGTACTTAGTAGTAATTGATATAAACTGTGAGTCTGGCATACTTTTTTTTTTGCTGTATGTTCTGTTTGCAGGGACGTCCGTGAAATGATGAAAAATATTTTCATGAGTCTGGCAGAATATACTCTTTTCCAGGAGTTACAATGTTCTAGCTCTAAAAATTCTCAGCTCGTAATTGAAACTTTGGGGGTCTCTCTTTTTTTTTTTGGGGGGGGGGGGGCACGGGTAATCTTCGGTGGCGCTCGAGAGCTATTAGAAATTTTGATGATCCTTGGACCCTCGATTGCTCGATTTGTGCCTTAGGGTATCTCTTTCGGTGGATTTGCTCGAAAGTCGCAACTCGGTGAAGGTACTGCACAGGGTTTTGAATGTTCTGAGGTTCGGAAATGTCCCCAACGTAGTACTGTCAGCTTCAGCAAACTTTCCAGGGAAAATAAATAAATAAATAAAATGGACCCCTTATGGACCTGATGTAGATTTGGTTCCGTCCTGTCGGTGAGGTTCTCTGTGACCACTTCAGATTCGATAATAACTTTTAAAAAATGTATTGAATAGATTGGAATTAAGTATGCGGACGAGCATGGACGAGACAAAGTCACCGTACGTTTTTGATTTTAGTTCATACCAAAGACAGACTCTGGCGTTTCAGTTTAAGTTTAACCCTTTCCTCTCATTTGTCGAGTTGGGTGTATAGGTCGTAGCGAAAAAATCGAGTGGAAAGGGTTAACGAGACTTCTAAATTAAATCGAATTTGGAAAATTTTCAATGTTTTGTCTGTTGTTGGAATGAATTATAGCTTCACGAATCAATTCGAACCATTTAAGGAGTAGAAAATTTTCAATACTTATCACATCCGCTTCTTGAATTTTTCATTGTCTTGGATCAGTCTACGTATTTATGCTATGCCGTAATACTCATGTTGGGTGCTGTTGTATTCCCCAGGGATAACGCTGTGACATGTACTGCAGCGAATAGTGTAGTCCATTCAACGAATAATAGCAATGTCTGTAGTGCCATCTTCTGTTAAATATGAACGATTGTGAAAACTAAAGACATCTTGGAATATCTAGGCGGGCTTGATTCCAGAGCTTCGAGTCTGATACCCTCAGAGACATCTATACTATGATCGCTGTATTCGTCCCCTCGCCATCCATGGCCGCCTTGCCGTTTGTTCTGCGCACGTGGCCCGCTGCCGGGTGCTCTACAGTGATTCTTGCATTGCCTTTCTGATTTTTGTTGAACTTGGAAGACACGTCTCGCATCAATTATCAAGATGGCGAGAAAGACTCCAAAAGTTCGAGCCAGCAAGGGAAAGCGGTGGGCCAAAGGAAGCAGCAGCAGCTGTAATCCAGAGACGAAAAAGTTTCGCCAGGCTGCTAGAGGACGGTTCTTCATGCCCACAGGTAGTCATGATTGTATATGCCTCAATCCAGGCCTTAGGCCTAGTAGCACACAATATTGATCTAATGTTGAGCACTGGGCAGCTAGAATTGAAGTGGTCTTAGTGACGTAAGGTTAATAGATAGGCCTGTTGTGGTCCTATAGGCCTATAAAACAAAAGTATTAAACCAATTTTACGTCCGCATGTTGTAGTGCCATAATGCATCAACGAAGGACCGAAATTTCAAATTCAAGAATTGAGATTTCAACATAAACCCAGTGCTAGAGAATTCAATATATAGTAATTACGCGAAAGTCTAGCCCATTTCCTTAGTACAATGACGTGCTGCACAAGAGAGGCTCCATACTGAACGAATGCTTCATGCAGGGTCGTGAGTGTGTTTATCTGTAAAAGTTGGATTGTGATCTACAACATCAGCTTGAAATTCTTTGCATCATTAGTAATGATATCGCAAGAAGCATTGAAATGCAATAATATATTTGGACGCATGAATCGAACCAACGGCGCGAAAGCCGACCCTGCGGTTCCTCAAAGTCGGGCCTGTGATCGTGCTTCCTAGCCTCACTAAGCATCCACCACCCGGTGTGGAGGTCTTAGCAAGCCTCTATACACGCACGCCGCTCGCCGTGTTGGTTTGCAGAGCCAGGAACAACCGATTTTAGACCGACTGCATATTCCCAGCATAATTGCCTGAGAGGTACCTCCAGGAGGGAGGTTCAAAGAGGGGACTAGCTGGATATTGTTTGACAGTCAAACTTGATTAGAATATCCATGGCCTTTGATATAGATCTTAGGCTGACCATGGAAAGATACATGTACAGTTAGCACAACCAGAGAAGCGGCATTGTACATATGAATGCAAAATTCCCGACCTTAGGCATGTGCTTCACTTGCCTATGCCTATGACAAGGGATCGACTTTCAGAGACCCTCACTGCGATTCGGTCCAGAAAACCGACCCTCTAAAATATCGAATTCCAAGAACATAATGATATAACCATTTCTTACAGCATACTCTTCAGTTACCTTTGAACACTATATTTATGACCATCAACGCTTAGAGTCACCAGTAAGTACCACAACATAATATATACCAGGGACATTTGTAACCATGATCTCAGTGTGCCTCACTTAAAGTAAGAATGATGTAATTTAAGGAGCTCATTTCTGGTTGACTATAAGGATTAACAACGATGCATTCTCTGTGGGACACATTTTAAGCTTCGCTTAAAACATGGATTCGAAGACGAAGACACAGAGGGCAGTATGTCATTATAATGGCGAGGTCCGTGAAGTGAACCGGAATTCTGTCCAAATTCGTGCACGGGTCGACTTTCGCGTACTTACGTTATATCCTGCTCATTAAAACTTCCTGGAGCATTTAAAAGACTGTCATGCAAATCACTTGTCTATCAAACTGTTCCTCAATACTGGGTGATGAACTCATTACTGTCTTTTAATGACATTGTGCATATCCTCATAAAAAAATATCTCAATACCCAATAGCATCCTAAGTCCTGTTCATATTGTCTTTGACCCAGTGGCAGCTCACAAGTTTTGTTGTGGGGTAGGCACATGATGACCATGAGTGAAAGCAAGAAATAGGTATGCATACTATCCCATCTACCCATTCCTCTCCCCCTTGCACTTTTATGTCAGTACATCAACTCCAATTATGTCATCAATAGTCTAATTTTCAGTGTGATATCTGAATATGCATTTTACATGTTCACAAATGAACATGTAAATGAACGAACTGGGTAAAGTATGTGTTGATAGATACTGGTCACTAGTCTGTGCAGGTAATTTGTTGACAAGTTGGGAAAGAGGATATAGAGGATTAATGGGGCAGACCTGGAGGATAGAGAGAAGTGGGCAGGCAGTGGAACCTTCATGCTTGCTGCCGTGGAAGTGGGCAAGAATAGAAATGTATTTCTTGTAAGACACTGTTATTTGCAGGTCAAAAGTATAGTATCAGTGTACACCTAACAGGTACATAGATATGTGAATATGTTCCTTTGATCTCTTCTTAGGGGCACTGGTTCCAGTTTATAGGTTTTGTTGTGTCTCCACTTGCCCATTAATTATGTTCATGCTTTTGTCAGCAGGTAGTGGCAGCTTGAGTCCAAGAGGAATGGGGATTTTCTACATACCTGCACATGCTCTAAATCCTTGCATGACAGTCTTCTCCCTCCAATTCCTAACAATTTTGCCCTTTAGCAATGTTCTTATCACAGCCTACAGCATTTTGGGCAGAAGTGGAGTGGGTTTCACTTTCCATTGCTACTTTTAGAGCTTCCAATATCCTGGAAATTTCTATGAAGACCCTGTTCTTGAGATATCCCCATAAGAAGAAGTCACAAAAATTGAGATCAGGTGACAGAGGAGGCCATGGAAGACCACTGCCATGAAGTTGGGAGTACCTGTTAGGCAGGACTCTCAGGCCAAAATTTTAATGCAAAAAATTCCAAAAGATATTAGCTGTTATTGATAAGGTCTTGTGCCATCCTGCTGTAATCAAACTCTGTCCATATCAGTGTCTTGGCCCTTAAGAAACAGGATGAACTGTTCTTGGAGGATGCAGAGGTAAACATTTTAGTCCACCATTGTGTCAATTAAGACTGGGCTAAAGATCGTGCTTGATGACTGTGCACCAAGCTGTAACATGTAATGGATGAAGCAGATTATCTACAGAAATTACATGGCCCTGATTAGCCATGTAATTTTAAAAAAGGGAGGACACCTTGAGCATGTTGTGTGCCTGTAAAAAAATTCCCATCCTTCCATAATAAAAATCATGCCAAGTTTCATGAACATAAGTTAATCCATTGATTTCAAATTAATTTTTGAAAGTGTGGTATAAAATTAAAGAATCACCCTGTATTGGATCTAGTACAGGGTCCCATACATGAAAACCTGGAAACAGTTCAGCTGATTGATTTTTTTCTTATGCCAACTGTGCTTAATTTTCATATAGATTGCCATCAGTCCCAACTGGAGTGGAATGCACATATTTGCTCACCAAGGCAATGTTGGAATTTGACGAGGAGAAATCTGTGTCTGCAATGGAACAGCGTTACCTCCTGTCATTTGCAATTGTCCGGTAATTAAAAGTATAACATAACTTGGAAATGAATAATTGCATCCTCCATGAAGGAGTGATTATCTTTTTCTCTTCACAACTTTCCCCACCAGGTTTGTGAATCTGGTCACAAGTTTATACCAGAAGCATGAGAAACATGCAATCCATCGAGTTGGGGAGACAATTGGCATTCCTTATTGGTTGGTGGAATTGAGACATGAGGTCTCTCATTCACGTCTCCCTGGATTGGAAGTGCTGAAGATGGCTGTGGAGTTCTGTCTACAATGGCTTCGAGTATATTATTCAATGATGCTCAGAATTGGCCTCTCAGCCCTATTTATTGCCAAAAGTGATTTGAATGAATCATATCTCTAGGTTGTCTATTGGGAAAGTGAATCAAAGTTTTTGGCTGAATTACTGCAAGAGAATCCAACGGGAAATTACTTGAAGTCAGAGGAACTGGTGGATGAGAGACCTGCTGTAGCCATCAGGGTCTATAAGGAGAATCGAATTAGGTTTCTCAAGACTCTCACCTCCACATCTGATGGTCATATGAACATGCAGAGGCTCAAGCGCAAGAAACAAGGCAAAGGTTTGTTATTGTGCCTTCAGAATTGATAAAATCACTACTGAAAAGTGAAGTGAAAGTTATTTTGAGTTGGCATTTTGGCAGGTCTACTTCCTTCAGGTGCACTCGAGTTGGCCACTCTCCGATCATTCATCTCTACTCGTCCTGCCCTTGTTGCTGATGCTCTTGTAGCTGAAGGAAACCTGCTCCCTCTTAAAAATGCCTATCCTTGTGTTCGAGGTATTGCTTTGTAGTTGCCTTTAGGGAGAGAATACTTATTCTTCTACATGCAAATGAAAAGCTTTTTTTCTGCTAACAGAGTACCTAAAGCAGGATGGCACATCTGTCCAGCCAGATTGGATCAGCCTATGGGAACCCCTCATCTCCATATTTCTGGAAGAAGGAAAGGCAAATGTGTTGCTGGAATCCTTATTATCAGAACACATGGTCAGGAATTCTCTACAGGCCCAGATTTGTACTAATTGGGCCATATGGATCCTGGGAAAACTGGAGGAGAAAGCAAATGATTCTCCACCCAAGAAATGTCAGAAGATAGAGGGGCATCATGGATTTAGTTTATATGTCTGGAATGGTCTCCTTAGGATGGCTTCTCACATCCCCAACCTTAGCACCTCAACCCTGATTTCAAAGTTGGTTGCTCTTGCTAAGTTCTTATACACTTGCTAGTCACTGTTGTCATATCTGGCTTCCTGCAGACCAAACCTAATTTTTCTCATTTTAATTTCTGTGCTGTGCATTGGCATGGAAGCTTTTGCACTTTTTAATGGCACTCCAGCTCTTTAATCCTTTTTAATGTATATGAATGGCAAATCCCATAGTTTTCACTAAGTTTCACAAATGCCAAAAAAGCATTTTCAGGTAACATTTTGCAAAGGTAACAATAGCAAGTGCTTGCAATTAAAATTGATTGAGCAAAAATTGGAAAGGGGAACTTCAGTTTTTCTTTTCTATGCCTGTATGTTCATAACTATTAGTAGTTGGATCAGCAGGTACTATATTGGTCAGTTGCATATGCATTTTTCAGTAGTGGAAGAAGATTCACTTGGTTCTAGAGCACACAGATTAAGTTAGAAGCTGAATTGGGGAGTAACATTTTACAATTTCTAAGAAAATTAAATGTGATAATTCAATTTCAGTATGGGATTAGGAGCAATATTTTATTCTTTCTTTTTCAAAGTTTTCAATGATTGTTACAGGAAATCATTCCTATGGAGTGGTCAGATTCACTCTTCCATACAGAAGCATCCAAACTTCATTTACTTGATATGGAAAAGTATGAAGCCATTATAAGAAGATAATATTGATACATCAACCTAAAGTATATATAAGAAGTGATTTACAAGGGTATTTTCAAAAGTAATGTCACAAAATTTATTTCAAGTTAATTATTACAGATATAAGGTTGAAGCTGAATATAAGTGTTCAGTTTTGTTATCATGCCATTGTACAGTCCTGACTTAGCACCTAGTGACTTCCACCTTTTCAGCAGAGTGAAGGAATCCCTTTAGGGTGTGCACTTTGCAAGTGAAGAGGCCTTGAAATGTCATGTTCAGAAGGAGTTAGAGGCACAATCATCAGAGTTTTACTGTGAAGGCTTTGATGCCCTTGTTAAATGCTGGAGAAAATGCATGGAATGTGATGGAGCTTATGTAGATCTGTAATGGTTTACTCAAAATAAATTCACTGACATTACTTTTGAATACCTCCTTGTAGAATTCAATACATTATTGAAACCGTAAGAGTTATTTGGCACCCTAGGCTCCTGCTGCTTCCAGCCATGTGAAGTCCTGTGTGAAATGTTTGCATGTAGATTGAGCAGGGCTACTGATTTGCCAAAGGAGAAGGTCAGATTTCTGGAAGAAGTCATTAACTTGTATACCAGAGCCACTTCAAAGGACGAAACATCTTTCAGTGACACATGTGCCATGGGTGCAACCTCAGTTGAGGGTGTGCTTGGTGCTTGGGAACTTTGCTCTGGTCAGTCCCTATTTTTATTCCCATTTTTTAAGTGAGAAAATTATGCAGATGAAGAAAATGGAAGAGGTCACTCAAATCATTTGCAGGTGAAGGTGATTGGTCCAGTTGCCCAATTGGACTCCTCCCTCATCAGACTTACAATCACCTTGAGATGTCCAAGCTAAGTGAATGAGTTCATTTGTTTGCATAGGAAGTCACCCTCCCTAATTTGTGAGATACTTTGTGATATTTCCAGGAATAAATATTGTTGGCAGGGTTTCTCATAAACAGCCAATATATTCTCCATCAAGACAGACACATTTGAAGAAATTGGAGAGACCTTCTCTGAAACATTGCAACTAGCAGTACACACAACACCCCCTCACAAAATGCGGGAATGTCGTATTAAAAGAAATAAAAAAAAGCATATCATGGTGCATACAGTATGCATGTATGTAATCATTCATATTAGAATGTACCTGTTGTCCAACTATGGGGACATTGATGGCTGCAGGAGATAACTCTGCAATATGAACATGATGCAGCTTGATATGATCTCTTGTAGGAGGGCCAATGATGCAAGACAAACTTTGCATTATAGCTAGCTAAGATAGAATGCATTCACCAGTGCTGTGAGACCAGAGCTAAAACTTGCCTGGCAACCCCAACAGCCATAACCTTGACAAGGAAGCACACTCTTTGGGACATGTAACTATCAATTCTAAGTCTGCCAAAGTCTCAAAAGAAGTCAAATGACTTGGGGAATGCATAGAAATGACTCCCCGAGCTCTTGACAATGGGGGTCCAATGGTACAATAGGGGGACTACTTGATCCATAAAATATGTTGACCGTCATGGACGCATACCAACAATCCTCTCGAATTTTGCCCAATATGGGCGCCTAGAGCATGGTCATTCATTTGCACTGGGTGACAACTCAAAAACAAGAGTGGAGGAGTAACTTTTGATCACAGATAGTAAAGAATAGTTCCCAGCCTGTCAGAAAACAATTCCAGTGTATCCAATTGTTTTTAATAGACCTAGATCACTTGCATCACACATGCTTACTTGCTTCTGATGATCCATCACAGATGGAACTTGCATTTTGCAGGTGGTCAGCCAAGCACTGTATTGATGGAACAGGATAAAAAGAAAAAAAGACTATGTTCTGGGATCCCTCATTGAGGGTTAAACATCTGAAGGATCGTTGCACAGATTTTCTCTGCGTTAGTCTCCTCGGGATGCATCTTCATAGCAGCCCGTACCTGTTCCTCGGGGAAAACATGTGCCAGGTGGTAATATAATTTGAAACGAGACTCTTCACTACTTATCTGTGGATGTGTCAACACTGGTCTGCTACCAATTGGTCCTTGAGTCAGATGTGGCTGGGAGACAGTAGGCTGTGTGGGTGGGAAAGATGGCTGCCCCCAAGGACCTCCCATATTCAGTTGAGTGTCTGATGTACTTCCTAATTTCACCTGAGGTGTAGATCCCCATCTGTGTGATGAATCAGGTGCTGATGCAATACGAGACACATTTGGATGTTGAGCAAGATCATGTGCAGCCCAGATGCTCTGATTTGCTTCCTGTGCACTTGCATGTCTAGTCACAGGCAAATGTTGGCCCATATAAGGATCCATGGGACTCAACATTTGATATGGTTTTTGGGGTGGTGGAACAAAGCTACGAAGCTGATACAATCTAGGGTCATAATTTGGATTTAGTGTGAGCTGCCGTTGGAGCTTGCGATGACCATCTTTAGCCTGAGTTGTTCCTCTTGCATCAAATAGAGATGTTGATGGTGGCGATATAGTTGGAGGAGGGTATGGAGGGCTGAGCAACCCAGCCTGTTGGATGGGTGGTGGAGGTTCGTTCCAGATATTTGGGGGAAGAGTCAAGGGATATAAGATGTTCTCCACACTCTTGCTCTTATGGACACAGGTCTTAGTAGGGGACATTGGGCTGGTTGTGGTAAGTGTGATTGTAGGCTCAGTATCACACTGAGGAAGCGACAAGGTCCATGTTGGATTTGTTGATGCTGTTCGTGCCAGGGCCTGTTTTGGCTTGCCCCCACTGGGATAGTCTGGAAGACTCAGTTTTGCTTTCAGGGATTCACCTAGGAAGAAGAAAAAAATCCAATGTGTAGCACATGATGTCCTTCATGTGGAAGACAATATCCAAACATTTACAAAAGTCTTGGTGCTAGTGAAGCTTACAAGCGCTTAGTTAAAATAAGCGTGAGTATGGACTTTTGAAACATCCTGTACATTTCTTGAGAGTTGGAAATTTTCCCAACAATAGAATTTGGAAGTGATAGTTGCATTTCCCAATAGGTACAATTTTTCTACTTTTTGAAAAAAGCCATCAGAATCTGATTAAAGCACATACATGTGCGTATACAAATAATGTATTTATTTACTTAATGGTTGAGTAATTTCAAGAACTGCTTCCAGGGCCCATGCCCCATGCTTGGTTCATGGACTGATAGCTGGAACTTTCTAGTCCTTCGGGTTCTGCTTCTAGGAAACATGTTCGTTCTTCATATGTGAAAAAGATGGAAATACAATTAACTAAGAAGTTCCTGGTGAAAAGTCACCTCCAGAGAACAGCTTTTTTTTATTATCTCCACGAAGCTCATACAGGATCTTCCTTGAGTAGTTCCACCTTACTGGGGATGACTCAAAACAACAGCGATTCATTCGTAATCGCTCTTTGTTTATTCCTATAAATGCCAGATACCAGGCCTGCAGCACACTCACTTCAAAACCCATTCTTTTACCTATAACTGTTGACCTCGTGCATCGAGCCTATGGACATTTTGATTTTTCCAGTCGACGTCTATTCAATGGCATCCATGACGTCAAAAGCCGTGGTGGGCATAATGTCATCTCCTACTGCAAAATTGAGTTTTTCACGAAATAAGGAAAACGGTACGTCTGTGCAAGTTTTGTCCCATGAGAAAGGCAAATCCTTGGATGTTAAGGCATCAGTGTAGAAAATTTCAGCGGTTTGGATGCTAGAGCACTAACAGACACACACACACACACACACACCGGAAGAAATGAAATTTTCTGTGGTAGCTATGCTTTTTTTCCCGCAGATGTTGTATGTTGAACCTTCGTTCGAGACCTATTTCGACTGTAAAGCAAATGTAGCATATCAGGATGGCAAGAAGCCACCTCACACCTCGACATATCCATCTGGATTCAAGCATGCAGCTGTCAACACCACTGTCTTTTATGTCGAAGTCACGTTGACCAGGATAAATTAACCAGGTCCAAATGAATTAAGTGGGTGTAACCTGGCCAGGAAATACAGCTCAATATACTGTCATTCTAAACACTGATACACCGACTCATTTAAGGGGCGATGAACCAGTTTTGAAAAAAAAAAAAGGCTAAGTCGACTGCCCTACTTCATGCACACAAGTAAAGCCTCGTAGCTATCTAATTGTGACTTACAGAGGGAAAAATTGTACATCACTGGAATTCTGAAATTAATTACCATTACTTCCAGAGCCTTGAGAGTTCCTTTTTTTTTTCTTAACCTAAACCTGGAGGTTCAAAGGGGAAGATCATCAATGGAATAATGAAGCATTCTTCCATTCTGCTTCACATCCCAATAAGTTAGTCTCCAGGTTAAATTGTCACTTCTTGCGGATATTTGATAATATTCCGTTTGTTTGTACACTTTCCATCAGAGAAAGATATCAATGCAGCACAAAAATATGACACCTTGTATGGGAAACCTACGGAATAAGACCTATCTAATCAATTATATAATAAAAATGTGTAAACACGTCATAAGAACAGAGCATGAATTACCATCTAATGTCAACCTCCTCTGAACATGAAAATGCCTGAATTCCAAGTCAATTCTTTTGCATTACAGACACTTTTTAGGTAGACACGCAAGCTAGGAGAATCCAGTAATGGGGAGGCAAATTCCACGCGTGGCTGACTTCCTCTCCCTTCCCTTCCATACTCTGGCGATGGTATTAGTGAATGGTCATGACATGTGGATGGGAAGTAGAGCGCATGCGCAGGTTTCTTGTTCTTCCTTCTGTCCCAGTACTCTACATTCCGTATCACTGTCATGCTTACCAAGGGCGGTCGAAGACACCAGGCCAATCCCCCCCTCCATTGATACTAACCTTACCCAGGTCCAAGCCTCACTTGCCTACTCATGCAAACCTCAGGAAGTAAATGCAGATTCTTTTTTTTATTTTTAATACCAGCCTCCTTCAAACCTATACTTTCATATTGGACAATTGTGACTGAGAAACTCCGTCAGGAACTTCTGGGGTTGGTTCCGCCGCTCCGGTTGTAGAAACTTGAATGAGTATTGCTGTATAATGTGTCCATTCTAAACCATTCTAAATTCTAACATTAACACAACGATTTCAATACGGGACTCCAGCAAGAGTCATTTACTACTTAGGAGCTAATTCCAATTCTTTCTGAATCCTTAAGATTACTGGTGAACTCTGCTAGTATCGGGCGTCGACGAAAACTCGAAGAGGAGAGACAAAGGGAGGGAGGGGGGGGGGGGGACAAAAACAAGTTCCTAATTGAACCGGGAGAAGACGAATAACGCGGGGTGAGTGCCGCCCTTGCCTCTCTCTTTCTCTCGCAAGATCCGCCTTGTCGAGGAGGGGGAACCGGATCTGCGTTGTCAGTCATGCCTTGGGGGCTTTTTTTCTCCCTCTCCATTCATTTCCCTCACTAAGTGGACTCCCCTTTTTTAAATTGAATTCTGAGTCTGGTTTTTCGTTCGACGTCTGGGCGGACTGATACTATCCGCTTGGAGCTCCTCTGGCTTTTCTTAATCTCTTCCCTGGATTGCTAGAAATGATTAGTACTTAATTTCGAAAGAAGAAAAAGAACGATTGAGAAGCTGCAGCGGCCCTCCCAACACGGAACTCCGAGTAACGAAAATGAAAAGGAAAGAAGCTCATGAAAACGCTTTCATTTATTTACTTTTTGGAATGTGAGGTTTCCTTCCACAGTCGGTATTATTTTGTGGACTTAAACGAGGCAGAATATAGACAGTAACGCAAAGAAAGCAAGACTCAGCTCGTCTATAGGTGATTTCAATATTGCTTGCGATGTTTCTTCCAATATTGATAGGAAACGACCAGCAAGAAGCTTGGAATCTTTTCATGGAGTCATAACGATACTCAGGTCTTTGACTTGACATCAATATTTCCCCATGTGAAGATGATTGTTACTTATAACATGTTGCTTTCAATATGTGAACCCACCACATCCTCAGACCCTCGGGTCACAGGTGTGTACCAACTTTACAAGTAATCGCAGGGTACAATGAAGTCTCGGGTGGTTATTACGTATCAAGAAATTCGAGGAAAGGACCGTAAACAGGTGCCCAGCCGTCCCTTCGGTAATCCCGAGTCAAGTCAATGCGTTCCAAATGAACCTTATCGTGGGCCTACATTCGAAAAGATTTTGCGTTGAATGCCAGAGACCAGAACCTTCATTCAGGACTAAAAAGGACATTGATGTGAGATGTTATTGGAACCAGAACCTCCGGTTGTGAACTCGACCCATCACTAGGGTGAAATTGGTTTGGCAAAAACGGGACCCAAGTTGGGTAATTTTTTAATTATAAATCTAGTTGTTCAATCGAGTTAAATTTCCGTTCTAACGGAAAAACTAAAACCGTACTTAGATACATGAAAAGAGAATGAGTACGAACAAGAAAGAGAGACTGACCAGGAGAGGAATCGCGGCTCTTAGCAGTCCTAGCTTTCACTTCCTGGATCTTCTTTTGGGCCCTTTCCGCCAATTTCTCCGTCACGGATTTCTGAGGCTGGTTCCCTCGCTCCGGGTGCAGGAACTTGCACTTGTTCCCATACGTGCACTTTTTGCCATAGGGACAGGGCGGAGCGAGTCCCAGTTGTTCAAATGGAGCGGAGCTCCCGACAGGCTTCCGGAGGAAGGCGTCTAGGGTGGGTCCATTCCGACCCAAAGGATCGTCCGGCGGCATGAATCTGCGAGAAAAATTACATTTCCCATTTTTTGTCCTTTTCAATATATAAATACACAAATTTAAATTTATTTCTTTTTGAAGATCCAGTTTCATAATTTGAGGACCGGGTTATCTTCTGATATTGAGGTTCTACCTATTAAAAAAAAAATCAGGTTTCCTTCATAACCATGCGATATACAGCCAGGACTGGGTACTCGCACACATGCAGAGACGGACCTGTCGTTGACGAAGGAGTACATGAGGAGTCTTTCAATGACGACTTTCTTGAAGTCCGGGTTCTCGGCGGCGAGATCGCGGTAATTGTCATTTGATACAACGATGCCATCCGTCTCGGCCGCCAGCTTTAGGATGTAGCGATCGTCGTAGCACACCAAGCGGCGACCCCCAGCCAGCCGCGACGGCGTGAACACCAGCTGTCGTTCCTTCTCCAGTTCCAACAGGATTTCTTGATCTGAACACACCCAACACATTTTTTTTTAAGCATATTTCTTATATATTAATATCTTTAGCATATTTGGAATTCATGTTCCCAATAAAATCGTGAGTTTTCAGAACTGGTTATATACGAATGAAAGAGTACTGGAAAATCTCAGATTTCTAGGAAATACAATGACCTATTTATTGCCAGCACAGGTCCTTTCGTTACTTTCCTATTTTGGTAGGCATTTGTAAAGGAATTAGCATAGTCTGGCCAGATTCAGAACATCTCGTTTCCTTCGCAATAATGCGCAGTAGAGAGAAAGCCCGCGACTCTAGTGAAGGCATGCGGAGAATGCGGATCGAAGGAGGAAGGAGAAGAAAGGGAGAGAAAATGGAAATGAGCGTAGAAGGAAAGTTCACCTTGGATGGGAGCGTCGGGTCGGGAGGATTCCTTCCTCCACTTGGGGACGAAAACAGTAATGTCCGTGTGACCCCTGGCTTTGAACCAGTCCACTGCGAGACGAATCCCCCGACACGAAAACACCTCCTTATTTCCGTGACTGGAGTAAAGAAATACCAACCATCATTAACAGTTTTATTCCCTTATCTGCTTGGCTTCGGAAACACCTCGTGTGAAAATCATCCTGGTTGAGGGGAAAACTTTTTCCATAGGGGCAATCAAGCTCAATTATCTACCACTGGTAGGTTGTGGGCACTGAATCGTGAGAAGTTGGGCGCGCGGGCCCCAGGCAACCAATAAGAGTCTGGGATCCGGATAACGTCAGCGCTTACGTCATCTCGATCGAAGCCGGTGACGTCATGAGGAAAACTTGTTCCTCCGCCTTCTCTCTCCCGTCTATTTTGGGGAAAGCCTCTTGAGTCTCTTCTATTCTCGTTCTTCTTAGGCCTTAGGCCTCAGGCTCAGGGTTGTTCAATGTCCCTAATATAGTCTTTCTGTCTTTCTCTCTTCCTCCCTCACAACCCTCTCGCAATCACAAGGTGTGATGCTATCACTACAAAAAGTGATGAGTCCAAAAGAATTACTTTTTCCCTTCAAGAGAAGGCTCCTGAATCTCCTTGACCTTGGAGATAACCGACCCCCCAGGATCAGATGGATGTGAGATCGGTTGACGTCTCATGTCCTAACAGAGCGTGCCCGTGAGGTTCTTTATCGATCACGAACTCGTCAATTCAAATATGGGGAGGGGGGATCTTTTACGATGACGACACCAAAAGGCGTGCACGTTCCTCGAATACTTCATATTCTCTCTGCCGTGTCGGCAGAGACCAGACATGGATACTTGGTAGGAGGAAATAGAGGGATGCTAACGTTTTCACGTCCCACTTTCTCACAATAAAACGAAGGGGTCTACGATTAATCGATTAGTTTCATGGATTTGCTGCCGTAAACAAAATACATGGAAACTCTACCATGGATTATCACCGCAAAAAAAATGACGAGTTGATAACATATCTTTACAAAGGGCATACATTTTTCACATAAACTGCTAATTTAATGAGATTAAATAAAAATGAAGCATAGAATGAGATGGATGAGTGAGTGACTGACCTCATGGCGACATTGCTGCCGTCGATGACGATGTGTCTGAGGGAGAAGGATGAGGATGAGGCCGAGGAAGACAGAGAAGACGAAGAATTGCAAGCGTCAGGCTTCGTTTCCCCGGTCGGAATATTGGATGTGGTAGTGGAGAGTCCTGCTTCAGAGTCGCCGGGACTCCCGGGAACTTCCACTCCTGCTCCAGCGCCCAGCTTGATGAGTTCGGCGAGGAGTTCGTTCTGCTCTGGGTCAGGACCCAGCTTCTGCAAGGCTCGTTGCACCTGACCTTCGGAATAGCCCAGCTTCAGAGCGAACTCCACTCGAGAATTGTATTGCAAGGTTTCCACTTCTTCTTCCACCTCCTCTCCGTCCCCGTCCACGTCTTTTTTGTCATCGATCGGCGGCTGGGACTTATCCAAGATCGGAATCGAGGGTGCCAGGCTGACATATTCCTGGAACTCCTGTCTTAACGTCTCACTCACAGTCCGGCTCACATCCTCGTGGGGGCTCACAGGCTCCAAATTCTCCTGGTCCGTGTCATAGCACGAGTCTTCCGACTCCAACTTGTGGCATCGGGTCTTCCTCGAACCCCAGGATCCGGTCCGGAGTAGACCGGACGCGGACGCAGACGGGGAAATGGAAGAAGACGACGTATTCAAAATGCTCAGCTCCGCCGGGAGCCGGGAACCGAACAGCAGTTCCTCAGGGCTCCGTTGCTCGAGGAAAGCCAGTTCGGACGGGTCTCCAATTCCCCTAGTAAAGACAAAGTCAACGGATGGATATTATGGGAAAAACCTTCATTGGCGAGTCCTTCCCAGTTTTATACTCGCTAACTGGCGGTACTTAAAAGAGGTAATCGTGCGGAATAAGAAAAGGAAAGAGGATTGAGATGAGATAGTTATGAACGGAAATATGACTCATCACATATAACACGTCCACCTCCACACGATCCGTACAAGACTGTTCTCGTCAAGAGAACCCAAGGATTTCGCGCCAAAGTATCGAGTACTTCTCAATGCTCTGGGATTAGATTGAAACAAGACAGTCTCTACATGATGAAAAAAAAAGGCCGACTATGAGAAATCCCTTCTTAGATAATAAAAAAAGCCAAACATACGTCTAGTTTGCGTCCTATGGGAATTTGATCTAACATCCTCCTAGGGCTAAGAAGTATCGAAGAAGTGGAACGTACCTTGGGTTGGGACGATGTCGGTGGTAGATGGAGGGTGGAGGAGGAGAGGCCAAAGCCTCTAGGAGTGAGACGGCTGCTCCGACGCTCCCTTCACCGCCGCACACCAGCACCGTCCTCCCACCCTCCTCGAACACCACCTACACAGGGTCCATGAATCTATTCTATATAATCTATTCTATTCACCCATCCCCTTAGACATGTAATGCAAGAGAGGGCACGTGAACTATCTTTTACAACAGCAGAAGAGAGAGAGAGAGAGAGTGCGTGTGCGTGTTCTCGTATACATGGTGAGAAAGCACTTGTTCACGGGAAAAATCGAATGCTTCTGCAGCAGCATTCAACGGAAGTAGCGTTAAATTGAGAATTTAAGGTAATGAGTCAATTTTGGGCATGATGACTTCCGAAAAACCATTACCAGAACACAAGAGGGGAATGAATTTAAAGGGAAAAAAAGTCATCAAAAATAACTCTAAACAAAAGTTCGCGAAATTGGCCATGATGAAACGTAACATTTTCTTAGGCAAGGAGAGACGAAGATGGGTAAGATACATGACGAGCAACTCTTACAGAACTTCTCTCAGAAATAAGGAAGGCAAGTTAAACTACCATTCCTTGAAGTACGACCAAAGTTAGCTTCGAAGTTTAAGGGCGACAAACCTGAGCTCGTGAGTCCTTTTCGACAGCGTCGCGAAGAAGCCGGAGCCGATCATAGACGTCCCGGGGAAAGGTCAATCGTCGGCTCTCCCATCTCGGATCAGACACCGATCCGCAAACGGACTCCAAGTAACCCTGTCGAGTCACGCACATGAAATTGAATTACTCTTATGTAACAGCTCAAGGTAGCCTAGGCCTTTATTGCGCAGCGGTTTGCCCTCTGGGACACTGCTTCCGACATCCTTCGCACACAAATCGGTGAGGGGGGAACGGGGAAGCATTGTGAATGTGCACAAAACGAGAGTAAATTTATAAACGCGACTTCGTGACAGGAGGATCGCCTCGCTTTCCATTTGTCTGACTCCCATAAGGTATCGGCCGAGACAAAATTCATACAGCAGATATCGTACCGTAAATCTCTGGAAATAGAACAAATTAGAACCCAACAAAACTCCTTTCGGTCATTGATACTCAGTTTCCCAAGTGAACTTGAACTACGGCTGGAAATATGGCAAAATATTGGAAAAATCTAAAAGTATCCCTACTCAAACTTGTACGCGATAATAATAATTAACATTTTAAATTAATAATAATAGATAAAACGTACAGTCGACGTATAGCCCATGTAAAATTCAAGTAAAGGTGTGACAGTTTAAATATTGTCTGTAATCTAAGATGCTGAGATGTGGGCTTATCCACACATCCAAATAGAAAATGAGCTAAAGGTTCTCCATGCCCTTTCACAATTCAAATTTTCATGGTGCTCTCCCTGCAGCCAGTGCCAACAAAGGTCTGAACTATTAACGCGTTCACTGCGGGACTAAAATGCCTACAGGAGCATCCTGGTGCTGTACGAGCCACTGATGACTCGTTTGGCAGTGAATGCGTTGTCTACTGCACTTTTGCAAGGAAGGAAATACATTTCTGTAGGGTTACTAGTACGATATACGCAGTTATTTATTCGTGAAAGAGTTCTTTATATTCATTTGAACAAGATCGCCACCTAACCTGACTTCTGCTGCTCGCATAATCATTCAACAAAAAGGGGGTATTCATGGATGAATGGTATTCAGGGGCGGGGGAACCGTAGAAGAGGTGGGGGGGGAGCAGGGAGTCACTGCATCCTGCCCCCCCCCCCTACTTAAAAAAAAGATTAACTCTGCCTCCCCACTTTCAACCCCAAACTTCCAACAGACGACTGAGTATTCGCAGTTCGTTTTCTGATACATGGAAGAGATATGACGCATGATTTAAACCTAGAATTCAGATGAAAAAATAAAAAACGCAAAGCAAAGGGTGAGGGTATGTGAAAAAGGTGGCAGCTGGATTTTGGTCCCCCCAATTCTGAACCTGCTCCGCCGCCACTGCCTTATCCTAGTCCGATAAAACGAGAATATACCTGTCTGTTCATATTACCCTCAAGGCTGATTCGCAGATAATCCCTAGTTATTTGAACCAAAAAAGTGGATCCTCTCCGGAATGGACACGATGAGGGGAAGCGGAGAAAGAGGCTGTCCTTTTTTTAGGTTGTCCTTCCCAGAGGGGATTCACGGAACAAGGTCAGCCACGTAAGAACATGACGGATTCTAAGCCACGACTTTTGACGCCCAGAACTGACCTCCAACTGTCACTCATCTCTTTCTCCTTTTGCTTCTCCCCTCCCATCATCATAGTCTGTGATCGATTCTATGAACCCCTCCAGGTTATCAACAAGGGAACGAAGGAGGGAATCCCCAATCCAGTTCCGGTCAGGTTTTCAAAAAAAGCTGGAGATCCCGGTGTGCTACTTTAATCCCGTTTCATTTGTATGCAGAGTTGAATCCATATCATGAACTAGTTTACCAGCACAGGAAACGTTCTTAGAACACGCGGAAGGAATGCTGCTCCGACCTCTCGCCTGCTCTGAATACTTCCATATGAAAATAATTGGAGGGAACGGGTTTAAGCGAAGATATCAGGAGGGTAAAATATCCCCGTGAGACAAAGGTCAAATGAAAAAAAAAAACTCATTAGGTTGGCACCTTATAAAACTGCGTTCAAAAAGTTCTAGATACGAGATAGTGAGATGGGTTGAGGCCGTTCGTCAATACTAAATGGAAAAGAATAATGTAGGCTATCAGTACACGATTAAGTGCGCAAACTGCTCGTATAACCAAATGGAGTGCACGCTTAAGACACGAATACATGAATAAACTATTAATTTCTAAGAAATAACTCCAGGGTCTCTGGGCGTTCTAAGTTGTAGTTCTTCCTATCCTCCTGGATTGCTCCTCATCCCGTGTCGAAATGACGGCGAATTGCATATCATTGAAAAGTAATTTCGTTTAGCCTTCCCACAATTCGTAATTTTTCGTCATTTCGGAATCGGATAACAAGAAATCAATAGAAAAGAAGGGAATACAGCATAGCGACAAATGTGATTCCTTAAGTCTCGCCAAATTCGTAGGCGCAAAATTTAGTCACTGCATTATTTTCATTAACCATCGCTTGGATAAAGCCTACCGCAACGTTCAAGCAAACCGATCCCACGATTCAAGCCGCGTAAACGTTTAGTTTTTTTTTTAGTTGAAAATGTAGGCTACCATCCACCTAACCGGGCGCGCATTTTCAAGTAGGCAAAGGGAAAGGCAGGAAGGCGAGGGAAAAAAAAGCACAAATCACCAGATGAGATAGGAAGAGGTACATGTTTTGGGAGAGTTCCAAATGCGATCTCTCGCAGGAGCAGATCCCGGAAACGACCAGATCGACTCACGTGGCAGGGCGATAATCCCCCTCCCTTCCTATTTATCTCACACATCCGGGTCTGGCACTCACCTGAGACTGCGTACGTACGTATGTGAGTGCGTGTGGGTGCGCGAGAGGAGAGAGAGAGAGCGAGGGGGGAGGGAAGGAGAATGAGAGGGAATCGGCGTCTGCACTGGTGGCTTCCCCCACGAGGACTGACTGGCCCTGTTCCGCTGGGGCTGGAGCTTGGGCTGCATGCCTGGAACATCCGTGTGTGACGTCACCAATCAAGGTCCCCGTCCTCCCTCTCTCTCCCTCCTTCCTATTTTCCATTGGCCGCGTATCCGATACTTCGCTGCCATCGTCTGATATATATCCGACCCCCGTCAGCGTCCCTTCGTCACGCTTTTCTTGATCCGTCATACGGAATCTGATTGGTATTTGCCAGGTAAATAGGAAACAGACTCTATATCAAATTCTTCCATGTCTCTCGTATAAACGCCAACCTCTTCAAATTTTTTTCTGTATTCTAGTCATTCTCTTAATTTCACTTCATTCCTACACGGAACCACAGAAACAATTCGTTGTCTGCACTGTTTTCAAAGTGGGTTTGCATCATAGGGGGAGAGCAAGCAATAGGAGAGAAGTGGCGCATGAGCGGAGGTCACAGAACCTCTCTAGTCTCTTGCTCGAGAGAAAGGTGTTGTTTTTTTTTTTAGTTTGCTCGAAAATGGGCGATTTTGCTCTGAAATTATCGTATCTCTGTGCGTAATGCTACCACGTTTTAACGTGGTAGCGTTTCCTAGACTTTCGTCTCGTCAAAATGAAAATGTAAGACGAGAGAGAGCAGATAGCTAGCACGACCAGGTGGCATGAGAGAGAGGGCGAGAGAAAACTTCCGGATCTTGGCCTACTTGGCCAACGGACATTCTTTTCTCTCCCTCTCTCGAGCAAGAGACGAGAGGTTCCGTGTTTGTGCACCACTTTTTCCCTCCCTCCCTGCCTATACGCATGTCCGGCTGTCCCTCTTTTCCTCCCAAACAGTGCGATGACCCGCTCGGAGCTATCAAACATTTTCTCCACTAATGAAGAATTCCTCTGCTCGCATTCAGTCTTCCTCTTGTGGAAATGCCAAGCAATCGAATTGGGAAACGCCTAGAATGTTGAGTCCGAACATGTTTCATTCCGAAAAGAAGTCACTATAATTCAACTCAAAAGCAGATAGTAATGAATAAAGTGAAATCCTGACCTTAAATGTAACAAATTTGTAAGACTTAATGGAGAAAAATTAGGAAAGAAAGTATTTAAAGGCAAGCCTTCAACATTCCACTCGGATTCCAGGTGTAGCTAATGGATAACCCATTTAAAAATGTGTGAGCATTGAAAACTGTCTACATCTGGTCCAACTACACACATATCAATCTCTAGTACTATTTCAGGACATGGTGTCAATATTCACATAAACACACAAGTTGCAGGTTAAAGATTATACTTTCAACATGTAGTCCTCATTTCTCACATGTCGCAATTTATTGGAAAGGTGAGATTTTTATTTAAATTTATTTACAGCATTAAAATTCAAAAATTATCACACATATTTAAATATGCAATCATCAAAATATTTTAAGGTAAACTAATATAAAATGTAACCTGAAAATATCCATCAATGTTGTAAACATCTTACTTCAAGCATTTAAATACTTAGAGTGATAAAATGGCTAGTTATGAACTAAGGATTCAAAATTTGCAATTTAAATATTTTCATTGCTAACATTTTTCAGCACCAGTTATGGGGTCAAGCCAAATACTTAAGTTTAACCTTGTCTTGATCCAAAAATGACTAGGCTACACTGTCCTTGCATTCCTCATTGACCAACATCCAAAGCATGAAATTTTGATTGTCAAGGTCTTTCATTATATAAGCATATTTTCTCCATCTTGCAACATAGATATATTGATAGAGGGAATGAAGATATATATGTCTGCCACAATTCCAAGTCATTTCCAGGGAAGTTTTCAATTTTGGCTTAATCTCACATAAAGACAAAATTGCCACAAAGAGAAGCTTGATGAAGAGTTGTAGAACCGCATGAAAGCTTCCACTTGATCACAGCATAAAAAGAGGCATTGGAAAAGTTATAAAATATCTGCATCATTGTGTTATGGGTCTGAAAAAGAGTGCAAAATAAAAATGTATGCCTGTAGATGCTTAAATTATTCCTTAAAATGCTTTGACCTCATTTTAATAAGTTACTTCATTAAAAAAAAGCACCTTGTATACAGAGCTACTCAGCATTGTCAAAGTCACTCTTTTCGGCGTCAAATTCAGCACCAAATAAATCATCATGAATAGGCCCCTGGTTGCTTCACCTGCATTGGGTTTAATGCTATTTATTCAATGCAACTCAACTCCATGCAGTGGTTAACATGGAGTTTAGATATCCCATAAAACTATGAATATCCTTGCCCCTACAGGCGTGGGTGCTTCAACTTCCAGTTATGGAGTAAGGTGAGTGAAATGCTGAGCAGTGCTTACACTGCATTTGAGTTGAGAATATAAAGTTGGCTTTGTTTAACGAGTGAACTGACTTGTGCATTGAGGAGAGAATCTTCGTCGGCAGCCGTGATATGAACCTCGACTTCATCTGCCGCCGCCAAAGGAGTTCTCGGTGCCACCAAGTGGAGTTTCACACCGAACAAGGACCGAGCTCGGGCTTCATTCCTGTTTAACGCGTCCCATTGGTGACTTTTCACTCTGAAGATTCCCGTTACAGCCATCCTCATCCAACATTTCCGTCCCAGGCATACTAAAGGAAATCACGACCAGGGCATAAACAAGGTCGGCGATCGATCCCAATTTTTTTAAGTCCTAAACGAGCATATAATGGCACTGACACTGGCGCCTATCATGGCCGTCGCCATCTTCATTCCAGCAACTAGGATGGTGAGCGACACCTCGAGTACTTAATAGGAATTGTCAGTTTAAGTGAGGTTCCGCAGAGAACGAAACATCCCATGCAATCTCTATATTCATATGCTGACTCCTTTTCTGCCAACTATGCTGTCGGACTACCATTTCCCATGAATGCACGGTACATCTGCCATATCCTGCCCAAGAATGTCCTGGATCGTCACAATCCCCCGGAAGAAGCCAACGGTGGGAATACACTCTTCGTGAGAGTGGCATTCTGAACATTAGGCAGTGGAACCGAAGCGAAACCTTTTGGAGGATGAAACAGACTTCTCTAGTCCCTAAGGGGCAAATCAAGAATCCTGCAGATTAGAGATTCGCATATGGACGTATCTCTGCCAAGCGTACGTTTGGACCACACTATACAGTAAATGGATCCGTTCTTCAAAGAAAATGGAAATTCTAGAAAGATTTCCGAGAAATATAGAGCAGGCTCATTTCCAAAGAGGCAGGTCCAGGGGGGGGTTGGAGAGGTGGGGGTAAAATCTTGCACATGTGATGACGTCAGCGAAACGTTCCACTATAAAAGCGGGCACTTTGGCCTTGAGGATATCACTACCTCCCTACCTAAGGCCAAGACAGGTCGCACACGCTTCCTTATGTCTCTCATAGCTGTAATACATCTACTCTCGTTTATTAGAGCCACCTAGGCAGCATCGTACACACATTGCCGACAAGTTCGTTGATTTCGACAATATTCTTAGGTTCCTTTATTTCATTCACTCTCTTAGTAGCAGTTGTTATGAAGGACAGTAGCATGGATTGCATTGTCGCATCCTCAAGGAATACTTATAGGACTCTGCAGGCATG